TTTGTCTTAACTATAATCGTGAACAAGCTCACATTGTAAGGTGAAAGATTACATTATTATTTTAAATGAAATAATATTTAATTTTATTTGTAATTTCTTCTGGAAAATATATATTTTCAAAGTATGTCATTTTCATTATAAGTATATGATATACATATTATATATCAACTCTATCACTCTCCTTAATTCATCCTATTATGAGTTTTGTCTTAACTATAATCGTGAACAAGCTCACATTGTAAGGTGAAAGATTACTCTATTAAACGAAAACTATATTTAATTTTATTTGTAATTTCTTCTGGAAAATATATATTTTCAAAGTATGTCATTTTCATTACAAGTATATGATATACATATGATATACATATGTATAATAAGTATGTATATAGCTACATATAGGCGTTTGGGCTCAATACAGAGGCGATATTGACTTCCGATGACAAATCACATATATTGACATGACGTTATCGCTATGGCATTGTCTTTGAATTAATCAGCGAAAGGATTATCTGGTGTACATGATATGCTCTGGAAATTACTCTGAAATTATTTGTTGAATAATAGTGGTTCTATGGTTAATTCTGTAAAGATTATTTAAATAAACGAATATTACATTATGTATCATAGTTGTTACAAAATTGCCTAATATTTAATATTGTTATACTATATTATAGTTTATTCGTTTTTTAGTTTCACTTGTTAAATTGAAAGTGAATATTCTGTGGAGTAAAGACAATTAGATAATCAGGGAATAATTACATTACACATAGTATAAAACTAGTGTAAAAGAAATTGAAATGGAAAATGTATATTTTACAAAAAAATATAAACTTTCTCAAAGCCTTAAAAATGTACCACTGTGAATCTAATAAAAATTCTACGAAAAATTACGAATTGACTACTTTCATTACTTTGATAGTTCTTGCATTGAACGAGCTGTAATTAAATTACTTCAAACAAGAAGAAAGGAAATAAATATATAAATATAATACAATTCTATTTATTAAAGTTGAAACGAATATTTCATAGA